GCTCCTCAGAAGCGAGAATGACGAGACTTCATCTCATGTACTTTGGACATGTTATTAGGAGGGACCAGGCCCTGGAGAAGGACATCAAGCTTGGTAAAGTAGAGGGTCAGTGAAAAGGAGGAAGGCCCTCAAGGAGAAGGATTGACACAGTGGCTGCAACAGCGGGCTCCAATGTAGCAACGGTTGTGAGGATGGCGAAGGACCAGTGTTTTGTTGTCTTGTACATGGGGTCACTGTGCGTTGGAATCTACTTGACGGCACCTGATAACAACGACCGTTGTATATTGGTGCTGGAGAGGCTCCCTGTAGAAGGTGAGGTTTGAGATGCTTTGAAGGAGATGAGGATGTACTTAGGCAGGGCAAGTAAGGAGACATTCTTGATTGGAAAAGGGAGGAGTTGCGGTTGAAGCTGCTGTCAAGACTCCAACAGTTCGCAGAGCAGTTTGAGAAGCATTAGAGGTCATTCTGAATTTTGAGAAGGAGGGTGAAATGATTTGAACAGAACACTGCTCTGGGTAGCATTTCCGACATTTGGACACAAGAATGCTTCTGTCTTTAATCTTGCTTTGTTCAGCTGCACCGAAAAGATTGTTTCATGCACCTCTTCATATTTTGTCTTCTGGGGGAACCCTACCAGGAAACTTACGATCATCTTTTGGAAGTTCCGGTCACTCGGGAGCATCTGAACCACTACAGGAATGTAGCTGAAAATGCTCAAAGTGAACTCGCAGCAACTTTGGTCAGATTTGAATGTGTTCAGTCAGAGGTAAGATTGTGTACTTCATCTCTCAGAAATGGGCCTGCTAGCTTCTTATAGAGTGGAGCAGAGCTTAAACCAAAAAACAAAAAACAAAAAAACCCCCAAAATCCAACTCATTGCCATCGAGTTGATTCTGACTCATAGGGACCCCTTTGGATTTTCAAGGCGGTAAATCTTTACTGAAGTGGATTGTCCAGTCTTCCTTCCACAGAGTGCTGGTACGTTTGAACCGCCAACCTTCTGGTTAGCACTCAAATGCCTTAGGCACTATACCACCAGAGCTCAGAACACAGACATGGTTAAAATAGGACCTTAGGATACAGATACAAAACTTTTCACAAGGTTTATGTTTTTTCTCTGATTGTGTGCCTACCCCTTAGTTGTAGAGAATCCCTGAAAGGTTATACATTTGCCATGCTGCAAAGTGTACCATCCAGAGTGACTGCACCTGAATTCTAGATCTCAGGGGAACTCCACACCCTTGAGATATCTAGGGGCACCTGAGGACCTTGGGTGGAAATCACATGAGCATTTAGCATCCCTTGGAATATCTTCCTATAATATGGAGCTCTTCTGAGGTAATTTTGAGTTCCTTTGCTGTGGTAGTTGTGATTGTCTGGGAAAATTCTAGCAAGCTGATTGGGATCTCTGCTGTGGAACTTCAAGGCTAGATTTAGTCTATAGTGGAGTTTCTGAGAGACGGTCCTCAGACACATCCTGTTCACAGCCCAGTGGCCCTAAGCAATTCTAGGCTTGGCTGTGAAGTGATGAGTAGTCTCATAAAGGCTTCCAGGCCCAACTGAAAGATGGTTCATAACATGTGTGTATGTGTGTGTGTGTGAATATATGTATGCATACTCATGGTTTCTAAGAAGTGCATGTATTCATCAAGTTTTCTTATAGGGTAGACCTGGCATCTTCTCTTCAGTTCAGCACATAACATGGTTCAGTGTTTCAATGGCACAAAATTCATAAAAGTTAAAATGCTTCCTTCATATAAATCCTATAAGGACTTTCCATTGCTCTCATATATTTTTTTTAAAAAATCTGAATATTATTTTTCTTTATAACCCACAATTAAGGTCAAGAAAGTAAGTGGGAGAAGCATAGCGAACAGTCTACTTGTATTTGGGAAACAGTTGTGTCTGGACAATCACACATAGTGTGGCTGGTATGTGTCTTGTTTCACTGTTCATCAGCAACAGTAACAACCATATGGACTTAAAAAAATGGGTTACCATTGCAAAATATTTCATTGCTTTTTGCAAAATGCACCACACATGTCTCTTGAGTGAGACTAAATCAACATAACCATTGTTCAGTTGGTTTTGAAAAGGACAGAATATGAAGTCCATCATCTGAGAATAATTTCCCATTTGGCAATGCAGATACAAATATGGAAAAAGAAAAGAAAATTGGATTAAGTCATGAATAGAAGAGTGACATTATAAATTTTGGTTTTGGATTTCTTACAGGCATTTCAAATTTGTATGATGAAATTCCTTTTCCTCTTATTGCTTCTTTTCTTAGCTTCGAGACCTCCGATCCAAGGTACTTTCTAAAGAAGTTTGCTGTCAAGAGTTGAAAGCTGAAATGGAGAGCTATAAAGAAAACAATGCCAGGAAATCATGTCTCCTCACCTCTTTGAGAGACAGAATTCAGGAGCTAGAAGAAAAATCAGCAGTACTTTCTACTTCTAAAATGAGAACAGAAATGACAGCTCACAATGCCATCAAGGAGAACCAGGGGTTCAAGACGAAAGTGATAAAATTAGAAGAACAATTACAGTAAGGATATCTGTCTCAGTTTGTTGAATGTTAAAATACTAGCTTCTGATAGCAGGATATACCTTTGAATGGACTGGCATTTTGCATCCATTGTTCCTGAAACTCAGTTAAAAAAAAATTCTTGACCTCTACCAAATGTCTTTGGATACTGGAATTTTTTTCCAAGCCCTATTTGAAATGTCATCAAAAGCCTCAACAAATAGAGAATTCTCCCAAGCATGTTTCTGTCCTAATGATCAGGGCTGCAAATGGTTATGGACACAATTGGGGAGATTTCCTCTAAGTGCAGGTTTAGTTTGAGGCAGCTGAGTAGTAGGGAAGCAGTCATTCAGAAACTAGTTATAGAAGTGCCCTGGGGCCCAGACCACCCTGAACCTTTCTCACTAGGTTTTATGGTCAATTTGTGTAGAAACCCATGAAAGGGAGGTTTTCCTTACTTAGTTCTAATAAAAAAGAAATGAAAGCTATTTGTTTCTAAAATACTTTAAAATTTTACATATAATGACTTAAATATATCTTTATTGAAAAAATAATTGATATTTATTTGATATGTTCCACCTAAAAAACACACACACACACACACACACACACACACACACACAAACCAGACCAACACTTTATTGACCTGATGTCTAGCTCCTGTCCTCTTTCTCTTCTTCCATTTACAGCAAAACTCTTAAATGTTGGTACATTCTCACAGCCTCCAATGTCTCTTCCATCTTGTATAGAATGTAGTCCAGTGCAACCACTCATTCAGGCCCCACAGTGCTAAGGTGAACAGCTGGCTGGTCTTTCTTTTGGTCTTGTCAGAAGCATCAGTGCAGTTGATCTGTCTCCTGGAGCCAGTTTTTTCTCTGGTTTCTGGGATACTCCAGTGGCTGCTGTTTAATTTACCTTCCTAGCTACTCTGCCACTAATCTCTTGTGCTTGTTCTTCATCGTTCCCTTGACCTCCAAATACTCTCTTTTCTGTCTAAACTTACTCTATTGATGATCTCATCTCATCTCATGGCTTTGAGGATCGTCTAAATGTTGATGATTTCCAAATTTATGTATCTAGCCAGTATCTCTTCCCAGAACTCAAGACCCACACATATATCACTACCTACTGGACTTCTTCATGCAGATGTCTAATAAACCAAAATCAAAGCTCAGTCCCCCATTCTGTCTGTCACCCTGGTTGGAGGCAGATAAGTGGGCACGATAACTTGGTTCCTTAGAAGCTAAGCCAAATTGAAGCTTACTTTACACATCTCCTCCATAGTTATTCCCCATCTTAACTGGAAACAGGTGAATAGGCATGTCAATACGTTTCCTTAAAGTTGTTTTTCAGAAAACAACCAATACCAACTTGAAATCAACTTTGGCCCACAGACATGTACACTGAGGCAGACAGGAACAAAGTTGTTCAGAACTGACATCTTCCCCTCTGCTCAAGTCCTGATCAGCTGATGACAGGAAGTTGGTGTCATTCATCCGGTGTGCAAGTGCACTGCATTAAAAATTGAGTGTCCCTTTAAACCGACATGAAGGAAGCCTCAGCCAATCCCCAGTTAATTCATGCCCAAATTCCTGAAATGTTTATGAATGTGTATAAGCCCCTCTCCTGAACTTTACAAAAACCATATCCTAACCTTCACTCGGGGAGTCAGATTTGAGTACTGATCCCTGTTTCCTTGCATTGCTGCTTTGCAATAAATAATTTTCTCTCCTCTTAATCACTCAATGTGTAAACTAGTTTGGCCTGATTGTGCACTGGGCAGGGACTCATGTTTGGTCCATCTTCATCATCATCTCTACCTTCAAAAAAAATCTAAATTTTGACAGCTTCCTATTGCTACCCTCATTGCTGCGAACCTGCCACTGTCATCTCTCACCTGGATTAGTGCAATAGCCTTTTACGTGGTTTTCCTTCTCTGTGACTCCCTGCAGTTAGAGCTGTCCTCTTCATGTATAAGTTAGATCAAGTCACTCTTCAGCACAGCATCCTCTAATGACTTCTCCTCCCACCCCAGCCGAAGTGTTTCCTATCACCTCAAAGGCTCATTCGGACCTGGTTTTGCTGCTTTTCTCTCCCTGCTCATGGTCTTCTTTCCTGTCCCTTGAACATGCCAGGCATTTGCAATGGCTAATCCTTCTAACTGGAAAGCACTTCCCCCAGATATGCCAGACCCTCTACTTCCTTTAGGTCTTCTCTCAAAGTCATCTTCTCTGTGAGGTCTTCCATGGCTGCTACATCTAAGCTTTTATCCTTATATATACATTTCTTATCCCCCCTTTCCTGCTCTGTTTTTTCTCTCTAGTCCTTTTTCTACCATACTGTATACTCTATATATAATTTTCTGTCTTTCCAATAGCTCCAAGAGGACAAGGATTTGTGATAATAGTTTGCTCTGTGCCTGGGAAACTATGTTGTGTTAAAAATGACACTAGTACTGAACTTTGAGCTATGCTATCTTATCTGGTGTTAACGTTGATTTTTTTGTTATTTGCCTGGTAGAAAGTGTTTAAAGGAAAACGAGGAGACTAAGAATGAAGTCTTAAAGAATTGCCGAAAACAGGAGGAATTTCTATCTCAACTTCGTGACTGCCTGGATCCAGATAAAAAGAATGAAAAAGCGTCAGATAAAGATTTGATTTTAAAGGTGTTTATATACAGATTTAAAAGACTATAAATACAGTGGAAATTCTGCCACGGGACATGAAGAGAAATGCTGTGGACTAGTTTGGGGGTGTCAGAATTGAACAGGAACCCAAATTTAGCATCAACTAGATTTGTGCCCTGGGATTAACCACATCACCTCTCTGAGCTTCAATGACCAATCCTTTCTGGCATTATTTGGGATTAATTATTCTCCAAAGGGGATCAATTACTGTCTAAAACATATTTGGGTGGCACAAATTGTTGAGCTCTTTACTAGTAACTGAAAGGTTGAGGCTTCATACTCACCCACAGGTACTTGGAAGAAAGGCCTGGTGATGTGCTTCTGAGAGGCCACAACCTTGAACCTTATGGAGTACAGTTCCACTCTGACACCCATGGGGTCGCCATGACTTGGAATTCACTCACTGGCAACTGGTTTACTGGTGAAACATACTTCAAATGTCAGAAACAATGTATTCATTTTAATACTGTGTTTTAAGAAGATTATTTTTCCTTTTCATTACAGACAGAAAAACCCAAAACCCAACATACAGACAGAAAAAACAGCCGGTGTGTCATTTTTTTGCGATACTTATTGAATGTAAAATTAGGATTAGTTCTCAAGTACTTTCAAAATTTTACGTTAAAACTAAATAACAAAAATCCTAACTTAATGGTAAATTGCCAGTAGGATAGAAATTGGTCATATCAATTAAATAATTCACTTGGCCCACAGTAATTCATTAGGGCACCTGGAAGTATTTGAGTACTCATGTATCTTTGCTCATTTACAAATGAGCATGTATCCTTGTCTCTTGATATATTTCCATGAGGCCATTGCTAACACCACCTTTGGCTGTTTACTAGTAAGTGTTCCAAGCATCCTCTCTAAAAGCTGCAAGATGATTTCATGTTGACTTCAGGAAGGTTCCAGGGCACTGATGGATGCTGATGGCTCTGGCCCCAAGTTAGGCAGACACTGACGCCAATACCAATATACCTTATTCTCCTTGTTGCTAATGTGTAATGAGGAGCTGGGTTGAGAAGGCCATTTCATGGTGTAGATTGGGGGATTATCTTTAAAACCAAGTGACAGGAAGAAGAAGGAATTAAGAAGTTCCTTTTTGAATGACACCCTTTCCATTATCAGAGATAATCTCCAGGTGCTGATCAGCATGTTCATACTAAATGGGAACCTGGAACATTAGTGTGCCACCCAAATCATCTGAGCAGGTGCCAAAAATCACTGGCCAAAATTAGGAAGGCCACTGTCCTGTTCAATTGTGTTCCCCTGAGAAATGAGAGAAAGTGAGGGAATCCATCCATTCCTTAAATTTACTTGCTGTCATAAACACATGGGGCACACACACTCCCAAGGAATGATGGTGGACAAGTAGATATTTATAATAATTTATTAGATATTCGTTCTTTCATTTCACAAATATTGAGTGTTTACTATATGCCAGACATTGTTCTGGGTGCTAGAGATACAGCAATGAATAAGACAAGACCAAGGTATGCTCTCTGTCCTAGTTCCTTAGGCTCTTTTAACAAGTACCACACATTGAGGGGCTTAGAAGACAGAAATTTATTGTTTCACAATTCTGGAGGCTAGTAGTCCAGAATCAGGATATCAGCCATATTGATTTCTTTTGAGGACACCGAGGGAGAATCTGTTTCATGCCTTTCTCCTAGCTTCTCATAATGGCAAGCAATCATTGGCAATCCTTGGCTTGTAGATGCAGCCCTTCAATCTCTGCCTCCTTCTCCACCTGCCATCTTTCTTCTGTCCTCCCCTTCATACTTTTTTTTTTTTTAAATGAAGACACCACTCAGATTGAATTAGCACACACCCTATTCCAGTATGACCTCACGCTAACTTAACTAATGGCATCTTTAAAGATGCTATTTCCAAATAAGTTTGTAGAGGAGGACCCAAGATGGTGGACTAGGCAGACACACTATCCACATCTGTGGTAGTTAAGCTTGCATGTCAACTTCTCTGGGCTGTGGTTTTGAGTGGCTAGACAGCTAGATGCAATTATTCCACATGATGAGATTGTAATCAACTCTAGGGTGGAATCTACTGTGAGCAGCTAAGTAGTTGCCTTTGGGGTGTGGTCTGCTTCCAGTATATAAGGAGATGCTTTGAGAAAGGTCTCTACTTTTTGGCACCTCTGGATCCTGCATTTGGCCAAGTCTTCATTTCAGTGGCCTGCCGTGTTGCCTGTTGATCTTGGGATTGTGCCATTCTACTTGCCAACCTAGGGTTCATCAGCCTCCAGCAGCCAGCAGCTGCCTGAGTTAAGAGGTGCCTCCAGTTCCAGTGGGCCTGGAGCAAGAGGCAGAGCTGAAACCGAAAGCTGAGGGAACTTCACCTAGCCCCTAGAGCTGGCACTCTGAATTTGGACTTCTGGCCTCCTAAACTGCAAGAGAATCAATTCCTGTTTGTTAAAGCCATCCCTTTGTGGTATTTCTGTTACAGCAGCAGTAGAGAACCAAGACAATGTCCTCTACAACAAAGACTCGAGAAACCAAGTGAAACAGTTACAGATGACAATACTGGAACCCACAGCTTCAAAGGAAAAGATCAAAAAGTAAATCAGATACCGACAAGAGGAAGACATTCAATGAAAACAGTGAACAAGGAGTTGTAAACAGCCAGCCGGCACGTGTGGCCATTTTGAATGATTGTAAGCAGTGTTTCAATGACAGCAGGAAGCAGATAACCTGCTCTGCTTCCAGGAGTGCTGACCACACTGATGATCAGGGACCAGAAGGCGGGAGCCCCCTTATGTTGCACAACCTTCCAGTGACCAGAGGCATGCTCCCAGACCCCTCCCTTGGTGGCCACACACCCCTCCACTGACAGGGCTGTGCCACTTCATTGTTCTTCTTAGATCTTCCCTCTCCCCACTTTCTTTTTCTTTTCTTTTTTTTTTCCTTTCCCATTTTTTGCATCCTCTTCCCTAGCACTTTCTCTATTTTTCTGAATCTGGCAGAGTGGGCGCCCCTTCTCCCACTGCCTCCATGGTTAGCAGCATCCAGCCCTGCCCCTCCCTGGTCACAGGTGTATGACCCCATAGAGGAAGCGCTGTGTTCCCATGCAGCCATGTTTGGCAGCTGGCACTTTTGCCAGTGCTGTGCTGCATTTTTATCTTTCTTTTAAATATTATCTTTTTCTTTTTCCCTTCTTCTTAGCTCTTCCCTTTTTCTCTCTGTCTTAATCTTTCTTTTCTTTTCTTCCTCTTCCCCCCTTTGGTTTTGATCCCATGAAGGGGGTGCCTGCTCCTCCACTGTAGTCAGCAATACCCCACCCACCCACCCACCAGGGACAGCCGTGTACACTCCCCCAGAGTGAGCTCCGTGTTCTGGCTGCAGCTGTATTTGGCAGTTACCATGTGTGGTGGTTATGTTTGTGTGTCAACTTGGCTGGGCTTGGTTGAGTGGCTGGGCAGTTGGTGGTAGTTATTTCCCATGAGGAGATTGGTAATCAACTCCGTGGTGGAATCTACTGTGAGCAGCTAAGTAGCTGCCTTTAGGTATGTGGTCTGCTTCCTGTATATAAGCAGAAGCTTTGAGAATGGTCTCTAGCCTATGGCACACTTGGACCCTGCATGTAG